CTGACTGAAGGGAATAATGGGTTTTGACTGAAAAAGAGATGATCAGGTAATGGCCAATCACCCATACAGGTTGATCTGTTAGCCCTTTCTACCAACAAAGACCAGAACAATGCAAACATGAGACTAGGATCTCACTCTTTAAAACATGTATCATCACTGATCCAAAGTATTAATAGGCTCAGTTAACATCGATATCTTAGCTTATAAGAGATAAATCATCTTTACTTCTAATGTTAACATTTATTCAGTGTTCCAAAAAGCAGCACTAAAAAATGAACCATTGTTTCCTTTAATATTTCTTACCATTGTGTTTTTAGTTTTTATTCATAGATTTATTGTTGTAAAGATTCCTCTTAGGCAAGGTTATAGGGGTACATGTCTGATCTCTAATATTCTAAAAACACTCTTGCTAATATCTCCTTGCACATATACTCACTGCCTCAGAGAAAACAGTTATATACGTACAAAAAGCTCAAAATACCTCTGCACGCTATTGTAGTTCACAAGCTTTTGAATAAAATTAAGATCAAAAATTCCATGTTTTCATGGAATCTCCTTGGGGAGGGGGGAATCTTTATAAAATGTTCAGTTGAATATGTTTTCTCTATGGGAAAACAAACTAAATAAATCGATTTTTACTCTTTTGTAATACCCATAGAGAAGCCAATTAAAAAAAATATATATAAAGGGAATTATATAAATATAATTATTATGTACAATGTCATTAAGTGAGATCTCTTAATATTGCTATAGTTTTTTGCAAGTCTTATAGTATAAACATTCCACAGAATAATTTCTAACTTCTTAATCTCCAATTTTAAGAAATCCATACCGAGAGCGAGTCTGGCTATTGCTTCACTTACTGCAATATTGTCTACTCAAGCTGATGTTGTTTTTCTAAGATTTCTGACATAAAAAACTTGTAAGATCTTTTCTACATTTCCTCACTTGCATGATGTAGAACTGCAAATTCGTAATTCAAGAGGAAGGGGTCCTGCACAGTCTAAAAGGCTGAAAGTCAAAAACTCTGGTCCTGGTGACCGACCCAGATTGGATCCTGCATCATTGGTACGTTTTGGGTAAGTACTGAGAGATTCTACCTAAGGTTTGGGAGGACCACATCCTATCCTGGGGATCCAAAATATTTAAGCAGTGAGAGAAAAGAACAGTGCTGGCAGAAGAGAACAACAGAAATAAAAGTATGAGAAAGGAGACCCGGAGAGAACAAATATTGATAATCAAAGCATAATATGACCACAGCATGTTATGGG